GAAGTCATGGGATCATCATAATCATGATCCAATTGTACAATCTGCTTTAGACATACAAATTTTGTACAATGAGATTGTATTGTGCTTCCCCAGCTTTACTTTTCATAAATGCACACTATTGTCTAAGGAAATCCTTTGGCCTGAAGTTACAAAACTACTTTCAGTTCATATTTGTTTCTTTGAGGTTCATTCTGAATAGAAGCCAGCGAGTAAATAACTATGTACGCATCATATATGCTTTCCTTGTACCAAAGGACTGATGTATACTATAAAACAGGGGCGCCCACAATTTTTCGTTTGGAGATCTACTTTTCAAATGACAAGCTCAATGAGATCTACCAACGAAAAAACACATGCATTCAGGGGAGGGGGAAGGGAGCATGGCGGTGCATTGACGTCAATGGCACCGCAGCCACGCCCCTCACCCGCAGTGCGATCTCCCGCACCCGGAACGCAGGCACATTAGTGCCTGCGTTCCGGTCCAGTGCAATCTGCAAAAATGCTTCAAGCACTATTTATGCAGATTGCACTGGACTGGAATGCAGGCAGGCGATCGCACTGTGTGTGGGGGGCATGGCTGCGGTGCCATTGACTTCAATACAACCCCTCGCCCCCTCCTGCCCCTGAACGCAGGGAGTCGGCCGGCTTGCATTCCAGTGCGTTCTAGAGGCGCTAGGCGTCCTGTCCTCCCGCGGTGCTCGTGTGGCCGAATGTGGCCGACATTGCACACGGGGAGAGGTGTCCTGCCCCTTTCCGTCTGCGGCGTCTAACACATTCAGCCGGCAGCCACACGAGCACCACGGGAGCATAGCCGTAGCTAGCTCCTTTTGCGCCCGAAGCAAGAAAAAAAAATGAGCTCCCCCAACAGGTGTGTGATGTCACCCAGCGCCCTGCCTCCAGGATTTATTTATTTTTTTACAATTTTTTTGTTTTTTTTTTACTGTGGGGGTGGGGGGTTTGGGGAAATATTAGGGGTCTAAACAGCCCCCTGATATTTCCCTTTTAAAATAGAAAAAGAAATTGAGGACACAACATCCTCAATCTCTTTTTCTGCAGCTCTGTTCTAAATGAATGGAAAGCACAGATGCTTCCCATTCATTCAGAAACTATTTTACTATCCTCCAGTTTCTGAATAGGGAGGAGCCTCTGTTCAGAGTGCTACTCTATATTAAGAAACTATTGAATGAACAGGAGGTGATGTAAATCACCTCCTGTTCATTCATAACTGGGGACACATAGTATTATGTGTCCCCAGTTATTTACAAACACTGTAGTGATCAGCTGATCGCTCCAGTGTTTGTCCTGCACAGAGGATTGGTACATATCACTGATATGTACCGATCCTCTGCCGCTCGGCCACGCACACAGGGGGGCTCTGCTTCTTCTCTGGATCTCCGCTGCTCTCCCAGGCAGAGGCAGCAGGGATCTGAGGAGAAGTGAGGAAAGCACTTCAGCCGTGGGGGGCGGGTGGGGGAGCATTCGGACGGAGCCGCTGTCACAGCAGCATGTGCGGTGAGGAGAGAGAGATCCGCTGGCTGTAAGATCCAGGCCGAGCTGCTCTCTCTCTCCTCACCACTCGACGTGCTGCTGTGATAGTGGCTCCGCCCCTCACCGCCGCCTGCAGCGCTTTGTTCACTTCGCGGATCCCCACTGCATACAGATGGGGGAGAGCAGCGGGGATCCAGAGAAGCCCCACGGCAGGAGGACAGGACATTGCGATCTACCAGGGATTGCTTTGCGATCGACTGGTAGATCGCGATCGACCTAATGGGCACCCCTGCTATAAAACATTTTTTTACTGCCTTTTGCAAAACACAATATGTGAACCACAAAAATGTGCTTGATTTATAAATCAGGACAGCTGTCACCAGACAAATAATATCTTGTCTCAAGTTATGGAAGCAAGAGAATCAGAAGGACAGATGAGGAAGCAAGCATGTTTAGAAGGTGTGTTCAGCAATGGTAGACTCCATGTTTCCCTTATGACAGGTTCCCTGGCCTAGTCTCAGCAACCTTATCCCACAAACAGTTGTAAATGATATAGCACTTACAGTAGTAGTACTGTACAGTCGGTACTGCCTTTTTAGAAAGACCCACAATTTATCCCTACACTGTTCCTCCTGCTCCTGGACCCCGCTCCTTGATGGTACTAGTCCAGTAATCAGAAGCAGGAGTGGGCAGGGAATGCATATAAAAATCCTGATAGGCTTTTGAAAGCTAGAAGGATGAAGAGTGCCTACTGCCAAGGCAAATGTGTGAAAATACTCTTCTGCTTCTAATGGGAACATAAATTAAAAGGTACATTTTTTAATGATTTGCTTTTTCACATTAAACTTGGCTAATGAATTCCTGTTAGACAGACAACATTTTTATTTTCTTAAAATACCTTTTTTAAGATATTGGTCTACTTTTACTTGCCTGGGAACAATAAGGGCCTGTATCGACAGACTAATACTCATGTCTGTTTTGGAAAAGCAAATGCAGTTTAAAGCAGGTTGATGTAGCTTAGGGGGTCCAATGCAGGTATGAGGGATGTCTACTGCAGATCAAATGCACCTGTCAATGAACTGCGAATGATCTCAGAAGTGTCTCAAACTGATCTTAAATGCAAGAAGAATGCATCTGAATGCAAGCTGCATACCTATGGACACAAGTCTGAAGGCCATTGACAAGCTCTAATGCAGATTTTTCAGCATGCTCATGCATGCTTCTTATTTTTTTTTTTTTAAAGTTCAGATTATAGTAAACTCCCAGTTATCCGGCATCCACAGGGATTTGTAGATTACTATTAAAAATAGGTCTAACTAATGCCATACCCCAAACTATACCATTAAATAACATAAACTCTGCACAAATAGATACAAGATCATTTCCAGGATAACACATGCCGCAGATCAACAAAAGAGTCAGTACACAGGGGATTTTTTTTCTGGTTAGATGAGAGTTCTGGTCAGTTGAATACCGGATAACTGAGAGGGAAATCTGGGTCTGATTGTCAACTCCTGCCATTTTATATGAGTTAATTCATTCTGTGGGAAATCATTTCATTAAACATTCTGCCTATACAAACGCAAACCAGATTTGTAGGCTATGTTTGAGCAGCTATGTGCTGGCAGTTGCCCCAGCCCTTAATGGTTTAGATCATAGTCCAAGAGCAATAAATACCCAGCCACAAAGTGTTAGCGGTGTATTAGTCCCTCACTGCAGGGAAAACATCTCACCTCATTTGGAGTTTGTCATATGCTGTGCACATCAAGGTCAATCCTTACCGCAACCCTTAGATGTGGAAAGCATAAATGCTGTGAAGAAGATTTATCTGAGCTGATCTTTGACTGAACCACCCTATCCCTAAGGAACTCCAGCGCTCCAAAAGAAACTTGAGATGCAAGCATGTCATGTTGAGTTTTTGGGATTTATTTAGGACTAAATCAATTTGTAAATCTTGAATTTATTTTAATAATTATTATTAATCACCGATTCGCCGGTCGGATTTTCGGCTGGGGAGACGAGGAGAGACACAAGGTAAGTCTATGGATGCGTGCACCCTCATGCAGACACCGTGGGATCGGAAGTGCCAGCAAAGACAGAGGAGTCAGCGCTGGATCAGACACGCACCGCAGCGCTGGAGAGAAGGCTGAAAACATCAGGAAAGAAGATGAAGATCGGATTTAGAGACATCATTTAAGGTAAGTGCTGACATTAACATTGGGGGGAGGAAAAAAATTTTTTGACTTCAATGTCACTTTAAGTGAAAGAACAACTCTTCACACTTGTATGGCTTTACACCATAAAGCAGTTTATTTAGGACAAGACACTAAAAAACCCTCATTTCTGTGTGGCCTGGTCACACAGCATGACACACATGCAATAGCGTGACTTTTTTTGGGTATCAATTAAATCTTCCTGCCCGCATAAATTAATGGTAAGTGCACAAATACTTATCAAGCATTTCTCTGTGGGTTTTTAGCATATCTGCAACATGGAAATTCTTGAAAATTCCTCTTTCAGTTTAAAAAAGCATTCAGCAATATTTCAGCATACACAACAATGCTAATGGCCACTTTGGCTAACTGTGCTTATGTAAACAATATTAAATCTATACATGTAATTTGTATTAATACAGCAAATAAATACTGATGCCATATAGAACATATCCTACAGGGCCACATCATACCTTTACTATTTACCCTTAGAGTATACACTGATTGGCCAGATTATTATGACCACCTGACGTTTGTAGGCAAATTAGCTATAATTTGCGCTGAAGTTGCTAGAGGGCCAGACCATTATAAATAGGGAAGCAGGTTGTTTACCACAACAGTAGAAGTGATTTTTTTTCCTGAAGATATGGGTAAACAACACGATTTAACAGCCTTTGAACGTGGGATAATTGTTGGCGCTCGGAGCCATGGAGCGAGTATCAGCAAAACAGCAGAATTCGTTAAATGTTCAAGAGCAGCTGTTGTTAAAGTGTTTAAAGACTGGACTGTTTGCCGAAAATCTGGGTCTGAACGTGCGAATTGTGGCTGTCAGCCACTAGTCAATATTAGGGCAGAACGGAGAGTGGCAAGACTGGTACAAGACAACAGAAGGGCAACAGTGCATCAAATTACTGCAATTAATCAGGGATCCTCTCAAATAATCTCTGAACGCACTGTTCGCCATACACTGCATCGTATGGTATATGGAAGCCGAACACCTGTTTGAACACCTTTGCTGTCTGCAGTTAACCAGATGAAACGTCTCCAATTCGCACAGGAACACAAGGATTGGACAGTCGAGCATTGGAAAAAAGTCATGAATCACCTTTCCAGTTGCATCATGCAGATGGCAGAGTGAGAATTTGGTGGAAACAGCATGAGAGTACAACCTTCAAGCTGGTGGAGGCAGTGTTATGGTTTTGGGCATGTTTTCCTGGCATGATTTGGGCCCTTTAATTTGTGCGGAACGTCTGAATAGCACAACAAACCAAAGTATCGTTGCTGATCAAGTTCATTCTATCATGCTGATGGTGTATCCCAATGGAGATGGCTTCTTCCAACAAGACAATGCGCCATGCCACGGTGCTCATATTGTGCAGGAGTGGTTTCAAGAACATGAGGGGACTTTACCTTGCTTAGGTGGCCCCCACAATCACCAGATCTCAATCCAATTGAGCATTTGTGGGAGGAAGTTGAAAGACCTCCACGAAGTTCCACAACCATCAAATCTCACAGAACTGGACAGTGCTATTCATCAGGCATGGTGTCAGATTCCTCGCATCACCTTTCAACATCTCGTGGAGTCAATGCCAAGAAGAATCGCCACAGTATTGGGCCAAAAGGTGGCCCAACGAAGTACTAATGGGGTGGTCATAATAATCTGGCCACTCAGTGTATGCCTACTGGCCCACTCCTTAAAGTGAAACTATACCCTCCTATCCTTCACAGCCAAAGATGCTGCCATCATAGCCTCTATTTGGATTGCTTTTGCCATAGCGCTGCCCATGTGATCAGCTATGACACCAGCCACTTGAGAGCTTGAACATTCGGTAGAGAGCTGAAATAAGCACACTGTCAACCTTGACTGTTGGCATGCCATGAAGGTAACTGTTTTGGAAAATAGGTAAATTGGTGGGTCTAGTTCCACTTTAAGAACCTGAACATTTGGGAAAACTCCCTCTCGCATTACACAATGGTATGATCAGTGCATAGGTAACCTAGTGTCTAGGTCTGAGCCTAGTCCTTTGCAAATGCAGACTTAGTAAACATTGGATTTTGTACAGGATCTGCAGGCATTTATTTTGGAATTGTAAAATTGGAATTTGCTGGCTTAAAGTAGCTAAATAAAAGATGCCCCTATAAGGAAGAAAGTGAACACTAACCTCTCCTGCCGCCAAAAGCAGCTCCGTTGAAACGAAATTGGTGGCTGAAGTTTCTTCATTTCTTCATGGGCTGAGAGAGAAAAAATGCTTGATTTCCCCTGCTTGGCTATTGTATTCTGACAGTGGCAGGTGTCCTGTTGTCAGAATACTCAAACAGTGACAGCTGGTTGGCTGCAGTCCCTGTTTGACTGTTAATGATGACTGTACTGCCACTTGTTCCTTTATTTCCTGGGATTTCAAGGGACCAAACCACACCAAACCCTTTTAGTATGTCTGCCGAAGCAGCTCCAGTATTAGAATCTGTTGGGTGCTTATAAGTGAAACATAGCGAGGCTTTCTTGCAGTTGAGGTTAGAATATGCCCACAATGTACTAACAGAGAGAAGTCTACAAAAAATAATAATGTTTCCATGTTGTTAGACAAAAGGGATAGGTACTCCTGAAATCCTAATCCTGTTTTTATATCATTCTTTCTGCTATTGTTGTGGGCATATTCCCAGTTTGTCACAGCTTCCTACCTCCGCAATTCATCGGTGCCTCCTCTCTGTCTCGCAGCAACGGGCACATCTGGGTTTTACTCCCTTCATTTAAACTCAATCAGGACATTATGTCAACAATCAAGCATAGAGTCTAATTGCTCTCCTGAGCTACCGCCGCTATTCATTTCAGCATTACAGTTTAAGAACCTGCAGCACCCACAGTCTCCATGGCTTCTCTGCTCCACTTCTGCTAAAACCGCAGTCTTTGTTGCATCTCTGCTGCACGTGTAGCTCTGCTGCATTTCTGCTGCATTCGCAGTCTTCATCTCAGCTACACCCATAGTCTCTGCTGCATCTTTGCTGCACCTCATTTGTTTCCACAGCCACTGCAGCTTCCACATTTGCAGCTTTAATTGCACCTTTGCCACATACATAACCTCTGCTACATCTTGGCTGTTCCTACGGCCTCAACTAAACCCCATCAGCATCCACAGTCTTATGTGTTCCTCCACTGCACCCACTCCTTAGGTGCTCCTGCCGTCTAAGCAGCACTAATCTCTGCACAGTCTCTGCACCCACAGCCTCAAGCCTCACTTATGCTTCGAGCTGCCCAGTGCCACTTGCCTCACCTACCCTCCCACACATCTGCAAGTTCCTGTTGAGTGGCCTGAGGAAGCTAGTAGCTAAGCCCAAACTCCCACGAGGGTGTCCCTGACAGAACAACACAGCTACCTATTAAATTCCACTCTCAGAGAAAGCTGCTCCATTTCTTCAACTTCGACACATTTTCATTGCAAAACAGACTATTTTCAGAATTACCACTACATGAACTATTATAGCAATCCACTATGAAATGTTTCTGAAATATTAATAGAGGTATATTAATGCATGCAACTCCCCATAAGGTTTGAACTCAGCTCTTTCCCTGCAACTCCCTCAATAAACTTAAAAACCTATTCACAATAATAATAACGCACTTATGTGAAATGTAATCACTGAGGCATCTCCTTGCTCTGTGGTTATAAATGTCTCTAACTAGAAAAAGATTCTTACTGCATTGAGACTTTTGTAAATGTGCAAGTGTTAGAAATCCGTGGAGCTGTAATTAAATGGTAGTCAGTGTTCTAGTTCTGATAAGTATACACTGTGGGGAGAAGGAATACAACATAGGGAGTCATTAGATTGTAGGAACAGGAGGCTAAAATGTAGAGTCTTGGGGTCTTTTCACATATGCAGATGGTTGTGAGCCTTGTACCACTTTGACGGCTCTTCTCGATTTGATATGCCTATTCATTAAAGATCTTCTGAACACTGGAAGATGTGCTCAAAAAAATCAAGTAGAAGACGTAACTACTCTTCAATATTGACTGTATATGGCTCCATACAGCTGATCTTTTCCCCATTACTGACTTACAATTCCTTGTTTCATATTGTGTCTCTATGTGAAGGTGGTCATCTTGGTAGAAGTAGGGCTCTCTAAATGCCCTGTGTCAGAACTGCCCCCTCATGCCTGGTGGCCAGATAACTGATGGTGGCATGGTCAATAAGCAGCAGTATTAGGTGAAAAAGTTACAAAGGGAGATTTTTGCTCTGTACCTCAGGTACAGGTCTCTCTCAAGCAAGATAATCATGATCAGCCCAGTGGTGACATTACCAAATCTTACTCCAAATCTCCTGAGACTAGCAGTCAGAGGCAACCGTGCCTTAGATCCCACACTGCAGATATAAAGCTATGAGGCTTATGGCACAGGAAGTGCACTGCTATTTTTCAGTGGGCATTCAATACAAAATATGTATTTCTCAGGGTACTGCTAAGGCACAATTAACATTTCCAGATGTCTCCTATAAGATAGCAAATCTTTACACTTTGAGTTCAGGTCCATTTTAACATGACCTTTGTCATAGTAGGCACGGCAGTCTTCTAAAACAGCCTACATATAGATGTAGTGCATTCAGAACTACATTAGGGATTCATATTTATTGGAAGATAGTATATATTTTCCCAAAGAGTTTTTAGACATGAGTATGTACAGCATACATCCATTATTTTCTAATTTTTTGCAAAATTGAAGTGCTGTTGGATTGTTGCCTCTTTACTCTCAGATCCAGCTTCCACAGGAACCTTCCATGAAGCCAATATCTGAAGGAAAACAAATGGTGAGCTGTGATAGACGAAAATATGAAGTGCAAAAGTGGAGCTGGCAGCAGTGAAGAGAATCCTTGTATCAATTTCCTCTCTTACAGACAACACATGAGAACAAGGCTGACCTTGAAGCTCTTTTTCATCCCTTATCCTATGCTTTTAAAGAGGTAGCTTTACAGTACACATGTGAAATATGCACGCATATTGTAATTGCAGCTGTGATATACCTTTTTTATGTCCTACATATGTTTCATGCTTTAAACACATTGTTTGAATTACACGTATAAACATTGCCTAGTTCAATTTTACATTCCTGAAAGTTAAAAGTTCTTGTTTTAATACCCTTATTCAGCTCCATGTTTGCTTTTACCTTTGTTGTAAGGCATAAATTTTAAAATTGGTAAACATTCATTGCATATGTAGTAAGGTGTGATATTGATTAATGTTCTAAAATGCAAAAGGCCATAAATATGTCTCATTGTACACAATACCCTATGGTTTAAAAGAAAAAGCATGTTACAGTTGTGAAAATATTTATTTTGTCTAATATACAAATATACAATATGTATGTGATTAAAAAACGTGTTTCTGTTTTTATCTTTTCAAATACGTTTTATATATATATATATATATATTGTAACAAGGACACTCCACTGAAGACCGGATATATATACTGTATATATATTTGGAAATTGTCTTTCCAAAGACTAAATATGCTGAAAAGTTCAAAGCTTACATCTCATTAGTTTTTAAGTGTCTACACCTTGTTGCTCTTTTGACAAGGATTAAAAGTCCAAGTCCATATATTTCAATGATAGTTCGATGCAGTTGGGCTGAGGCATTCATTGCTGGGATTAAAAAAGACCTGGGGCACCTATAGACTAGAAAGCAGTAGATACATGCAAAAAGTCACCAAAAAGCTTAAAACTTAATTAACTTGAAGATCATGGGGCAGGCGCATGCGCAGTAGAGATCTTTGGCCGGGAGAAAAGGAGAAACACAAGGTAAGTCAATGCATGCAGCCTGGCGGCGTGTACCTGCACAGACTCCATGGGACACATTATAAAAAATTTTGGGGACACATAGAGCTTTCGTTTGGTGGTATTTAATCACCACTGGGTTTTTTTTTTATCTTTTACTATATTAAGAAAGAAAAAAATTCTGAAAATGTAGAAAAAAAAGGTATTTTACATTATGTTATAATACATTTATAATGAACCGATTTTTTTGTAAAATATAAAAGATGGGGTCACGTCGGGTAAATAGACACCAAACATGTCCAGCCTTAAAATTGCGCTCACCCGCAAACTACCATATTCAAAATTGACCATAGGCGACGAAAGCTTTTACCACTCATCAGTTTAGTGTCTATCAGTGATTGATGGCCGTAGAATTATTGCTCTCATTGCACCGTTCGCGGTGATATGTAACATGTGCAGCGTAATGGGTGCAGTCATCGTTTTCGCACATATGCCCACCCGAGGCATGTTTGCACGCGTGTATGTATGGGTGGGAACTTTAAACATTTTTTATGTTTTTTAAAAATTATTTTTCATGTGTGGCTCTAATTTTTTTTTGCAACTTTAATTTTTTCCCCCTTTTTTTTCACTTAAAGTGACATTAAACCCTCAGATTTTGTAACATAAACCAATACTGTAATGTGTGCCTTACTGTAATCCATGGTTGTTTCCCTTCTCTTTGCTGCTCTTTCTTTTAAATCCTCATGTCTTCTCATGCTTGGGGAGAACTTCCCTTTTCAGCTCAGGGCCTCTTCCTGTAGTGCTAGCTCAGGTTACAAGTCTATACAAACGTATACACAGACACCGTGTATCCATTCCTGAGACAAGGCAGTCTGCTGCAAAACAGAAGTTCTGCCCAGCATGAGAAGAGATACGGATTTAAAAGGAAGAGCAGCAAATAGAAGGGAAACAACCATGGATTGCAGTAAGGCACACATTACAGTATTGTTTTATGTTAAAAAATTAAAGGCATCAGATACATAGAGGTATATGAACTCAGTTGGATTAATTAGGAAGTGCTGTCAACAAATAAGTAAAACAGAGCGGATGGTGGAGTGGACAGAAGAGAATGTACAGTGGATGCAAGTGTAGAATGATTAAGGTCATACATAACTAAATAAGTGGATTTTCTGGGAGTATTTGAAACATTTTGTATCAACTGACAGGGTGAAAGAAATTTAGAGTAACAAGGACTAGCTTTTCTGCTTTCCCTTTTATAAAGGGGAAACTTATTTTGATTATCTAACAGTGCTTAAAAGAGCCATTAGCAACCTTTGGCACTCGGCGCCGTTCCTGGCCAGCTTACTGATGTCACCTGTTGCCAGAAACTGAGCAGGCCACTTTGGCTGGTGTCCTGCTGAGCTCCTGGAAACCAGTGACATCAGTGAGCTGGGTGGGACAGGGGACAGAGCAGCTGTCAGCCCCATCCTGAATAACAAATCAGCACAACAACCATGCACCCCCGCAGACCATTCCCTGCCAGCACCCCACCACCACCGCCACCAAATGACAGCAGGCGGCGAATACCATCATGCTGTCACATGATGTCAAATGAATGACAATGCAACACACATTGTGCACAGTATGGCCTGAATAAGCCTAACACAAAGCTTCCACTTGTGGTTAATCAACACATGTCTTTATATAATACAGTTAAAAGAAAATATGAACATAATATGCAACAATTAAATGTTTATTTTGAAATTCACATAAAAATAACTTTAGGATAGTAACTCAAGTAATAACTGTAAATACTGGCTTGTTGAAAATACACAATAATTAAACATTTGCTTGTTGAAATGACACTATAATTTTCATTTAAAGCTTATGTCCAAAGTTGTTTTTACCATAGTATGGGGAATGATTAGAGCCCTCGCCCGGTCTTTATTTTTTGCTATCCAGGGCTCCATTAGAGAGATCTCTCCTTTTTACTGTTCCAGTGACAACAGTACTAACAGACAGGTAATAAGAAATTCTCCAACAGCAACACAGACAGAAGTTAATACAGCATTAACACAGGGAAAGCTTTAACCCCTGTCAGCTTTTTATTGCTGTCTGTGTCCCTGTTGCAGGTTTTTCCTCATTTCCTGTCAGAGGAAACCACTGTCACCTTTAAGCCCCGTTCACATTGAGCGATTTATCGCGCGGTAATTCCCGCGATATCGCGGCAAATTACCGCGCGATCTCACGCTCCAATGCATTTCAATGGGGCAAAGTGTCCTGCTGTCGCGGGTCGTGTATCGCTACAGCAGGACCCCTTTTGGAGCGGATTTAGCCGCGATTCAAGCTTGCTCAATGCAAGCTGGAACGCGATATCGCGTGGCAAATCTCGCGATGTCGTACAATATGCAAATCGCGCGACAAACGCGCGATTTGCATATCGCGCAGTGGGAACGGGGCCTTATAGTAAATGAGGAGAAATCACTCAAACACAGCCCTGGATAGCAGTTAAAACCAGACAGAGGTTCTAATCTTTTCTTACTTTATAAAAAAACTAAAACTATTACCTACAAAAGATAGTTTAGACATAAAGCCACTCATTAATTATAGCAAGTGACATATTTGTGCTGGGACAGTCTGCTCTACCATGTTATTGTCTTGTCTCACAGGAGACTGATTGACTTTAAGTGACGCTAAAGTTAAATCTTAAAAATGCATTCAAGTACCTTGGTCCCTGTGTGTTGTAAAGTAGCCACCGCTCCAAGCTTACTCCTGTCATAGACTACAATCTCACATTTAGTTTACTAAATGCATCCTTATTACTATACAACATACACAGGGACAATGGGGAACAAAAGTAGCCTCCCTCCAGAAGGAAGGACAGTGTCAGCACCAATTCAGAGATGATTTGAGGATCTACAGCTGAGTGATACACAAATAAGATACATTTCTGTTAATAGTTAGGATACTTAAATGCATTTTTAAGATTTAACTCCTGAGTTTAGTGCCATTTTAAATAATTGATTTAATTGCATAATAAAAAATAAAAATAACAAATGCACATTGATAGAATAAATAGTGTGTATTAAATATTTGTTTGCATTCAGGCCTGCAGGGCATTGCAACCATGATCAGTGTGTTGAGGGTGTAATGTTCAGGCTCCTGGAAACTCTTCCCCAGGCTCAAGTCTATACTGAGGTAAGGGCCTGGCCGTAGGAAGTGGTGAGGGAGGAGGGATTACCATCATGCACTCTACAACTTCAGTTTGCTATGGTGGCAGATGAGACATGTAGTCAAAGCTTGTAAACAATGCCTGTCCTTGATGACCCAGCCACATGAGTGAAGCCAGACACAGTAGCACAAAATTTAAAAGAACACAGAATCCTGCATACTAGAAGCATCTTGTAATTCAGGTAAAGGTGCTGGTATGGGTTTTGGGGATAGAATATGTGACCATGTATCATGTTACACCCTAAATATGGTAAGGCATTGTCCAAAAGGTAGATAATAGATAATAATAATCATTATTTAATAGGTTTATTAAAGGGTCTATGGATAATCCTTCCACAAAAGGGTAAGTCTGCTCAAATACTTATTTTTCAGGTCTATGTAGATGCTGACTGATTTAATTACGTAATAGCTGTTTTTTTTTCTGCAGGACAGGGAATGCAACAGGGGTGTCTGATCATGTATTAAAAACTGATCTCTGGAATAAGCAAATATTGAATAAATACAAGAGACATGTGTATTGTTAATTGAATCTTGGTGTGATTTGTGTATTTCTTCCCGATCTGTGCAGTAATCCCGTGTGAAATGTTTCCTCTATGTAGTAGCTTCCTCCAATAAAGACCAGTCACTGCTGATCTCTCTCCTTGTGCAGGGTGACTGGTCTTGTATCCGCCCACTCTTGTAGTTTTCTGCATGCATCCTGTAGTGGGTGGGGCCTGCTAGGTCCCTCCCACTCCTCTCTGCACAGGGACTTAGCATTTGGTGCACACAAGTAGCTGTTTAGGAATATTATGAAATGAAAGTTTGTGTGCCCAGCTTTAAATTACTTCTATCTAAGGTGTAAAGGTTGCACAGGCATTTAAAATAAGTCAGTGACTTACCCACAACTACAGAAATTATTTTATTAATATTTGTTATGGGTTATACAGGGACATAAGGCGGCATCTCTTTGGGTCACGTAGGAGGGGTTGGCAGGCAGAGCGGCGTGTTTTTTGTATTGTGGCCACTCTGCTGCACGATGCTGACCCCTTTCCGGCCAGAACATCCCAGGTTACTAAGAGCCAGGCAGGAAGATGGTTAAGGGCCATATGCATCTCCCCGCCCAGCTCTTATCAATCTGGGACGCGCTGAACGGCATCCCGTCCAGCTCCTGGCAACCAGTGCCCCACCTCCATCCTACCCCCTTTGTCTCAGTCACCAAAAATGCTAGGGATGCCACTAGGCTTAGTAGTATATTAAAAAAAGATATACATATATATATATATATATATATATATATGTGTAAATAACAGTGAAGATTTTCGACAGGAAAATTGGTTCTTCAAGATAACTTGTAATAAAATAATTTCTATGTGTCAGATTTGATCTATCTATATGTATATCTATATATATATGCATACCCCATGGCTCCATAGCTTGCTGAGAACAATGAAAGCAGAGAAATGTAGACTTTTTTTTCAGATAGTTGCCTCCCTGCCAAAACCCGGAAACAGATGGGTGATTATAATACTGAAGCTCATAACTCAGGCACAAAGGACCAATGCCGTGAGTGTTTTTTTTTACCCTTAACATTAAATTAACTGCTGGAGAGCTACATGGGAAGTGCTGGTCAGGCAACACAAAGACATATTTCCAAAGGTATTCCAAAAATGTCACTGAGGGAAAGGGAAAAACAACATTGGAATCTATAGAAAAGTGCTCTTAAGGGAAAATGAGATGTAGATTTCACTGAAAGATACTCATCAAATGAATTTCCTTAAACAGCCAAAGCCCAAAAGTATCCCATAGTAGAACAATAGCCTGAGACATCTGTCATTAGAGAGTATTTACTTACAATAACAGTGGTTTTCAGACACACTGTCTCTGGCGTAAAAGACTAGACACCTGAACAGGTATGGAAGCTATTTCATAAATTGAAGTGTACACTGGACAAAGGATCATCTGTTTTTACACATACTATTACTGCATTAAAGTCCAACTACAATGTTTAAAAAAAAGCTGGGGCAGTTTTCGAGTTTTTATTTCTGTGTCCCTGCTGGTAAAATGTCCCTCACTTTTTGTCCTGCAGACAAGGGGGTGAGAAGAGCAGGAAGTGATAAGGCCAAGACAGCATCAAAATCATTTTTTTTAGAAGGAAGAGCTGGAACCTCTGTCTGGTTTATGTTGCTGTTCGTGTCCGCACTAGTGAGATTACCATCTTTGCTACTGAGAGTCAGATTATGTAAAGTTTAGAACCACTGCCAGGTTTTTATTACTTTCTGTGGCGTCCTGTCCTGGTGAACCCCATTCCCCTAATTTTTTGTCATGGTGTCACAGGGATGAAAAGTGTGGGGAATACCTAACCCGTATGATGTGTGGAAGAAAACGGTAGAAAAGAGGAAAGGGAGAGGCATTCTCTATTGCTGCCCTAAAGTGTCAACTTCTCCATAGATACATATACAGAATCAAGGATGGTAAAGTTTAGTTTTTAATATTAAATAATTGGCTCAAATTCATAATAAGGCTAAAGCTGCATGGGTGCTATTTTTGTAGCTCACTTGCGCTATTAAAATCTCACGAGATTATAAACTAAACAAGTAGCATGTGCATTTAATCACATTTGGAGTATTGTGTGATCATGTGTGGTTAATTGCTAATACAGCTTACACCAGGGTCAGGCAACTCTGGCTCTCCAGTTGTTGTGGAACTACAAGTCCCATGAGGCATTGCAAGACTGACAGTTACAGGCATGACACGCAGAGGCATGTTGGGATTTGTATTTAAAGCACAGCTGGAAGGCCAGAGTTGCTAACCTCTGGCATACACCATAGAGAGCCATTTCTTCCATGTATAAGAAGAAGGCCAGGGTACAAGAATGGTTAAGTTATCCCACCCGTACATGTATTAAAAGAGAACTATGGCCAAACTTTTTTTGGACGTAGTTCTCTTTAGGGTCACAGGAGGACATTTACTTATGTCCATCTGTGAGACAAAACTCAGCATATAGCAGGCTATTGCCTGTTATATGCTGACATTGCAGAGCCTCACTGCAGCCATCCAATATTGTTGGTATCCAAACCAGTGCCTGATTGACAACTGGCACTGCCTCTCCAGAGCCAGAGCCAGCTGTGCGCGCCCCCTCCCCCATCTGTCCCTCCAGTCAGCGCTGTAGGAACATATATGTGAGGGGGGAATCCCTGCAGGGAGTGGTGACTGACAGCACCATTCTCTGCAGGGAGAACATTGTGAACTTAGCGATCGCTCGGTATGTGATTGCTCAGTTCTCAGTCAATAGATGAAATACACTCACCCCCATATTTAGAGCTGACATGTTACACTAAAGCTGTCACACGTCAGCTCTAACTATGTGGAGGAGTGAATTTCACTCATCCCATATTTCTTCTTTAAACTCTATCTTTTGATGCAATGGTCATATTTAGCACTGTCTAAAAATATGTTTGTAATTATACTCTGCGAAATGCTAATTTGAGAAATTTTAAATTCAGTAATTGTCTACAGTTGTCTAGAGGAGCATTACTGAATTTGAATATGCTTACTATTAGAATTAATGTGTATGCACACTATAATATGGTGTAATTGTTGGATTAAACATATTAGAAAACAGCTGGATGTAAACAGTTTGTGATTATCACTAATTGATAGCAAAATGTGTTAATCATTGCTGGTGCAAATCATAGGAAAAGCAATCTTGGCTTGAATCATCAGCATTCATAAAATGTTTACTGACATAAAGGATAACTCCACAGTTATTAAAAATATGATTTTATATATAGAGAGATAGATCTATCTATATCCCAGATAGCAAGGATAACTTGCTACAAACTTGTGGCAGGGTTAAATTGTAATTCTTGTTAACTTGCTGCACACATTCCTGGCAAGCTGTAGACTTGCAGAACACTCACAGCATAAGTTCTAGTTGACACTTTTTGAATTTGTAGCAAATTTGCTTGGCAAGTCTACAGCAAGAGTCCTTCTGGTTATAGCAAGAGCTCTGCAAGTGTACAGCACTTTTGCAAAGCACATTGATCTGGAGACTTGCAATGCAGACTTGCTGTAATTGTGCAACAAAATTTTGAAGCTTGGCAAGTCTGCAATAGTTTAGCAAGTCATTTTCAAACTTGCAGCTCAATTGCTTGCTATCTGGGATAGAGAGATAGATAGATCTATCTCTCTATATATAGAGATATATAGATAGATCTATATATCTCTATATATAGATATATATATAGAGATATATATAGATCTATCTATATATATATATCTCTATATATACACACTACTATTCAAGTTTTGATTTAATTATATTTAAAATAATTTTAATATGCAATAAGCTATTATTTTTCAAAACTGTTGGAATATTCAAATGCTGCCTATTTTAAGCTCTGGCAACTGGGGGCACTTGTACTGGTGAATACACATAGTAGGGGTTCTGCGCGAGCATATGTGCATGTGCATACGCATGTGGGTTATCTTGCTAATAGGATTGTACATGGATGTGTCCCTCTGCGCAAACATGGGCGCACCTGTGCGTCTCATTACAGGCTCATTGCAGACTCTGGTGCCAGGCAGGGTATTTAAGGATGACTTCTCCATGCCTCCAGTGCTGAGAGATCTTCAGCTATATCCTGAAACCTGCAACCCTGATCCTGTTCCTGATCTTCTGTTGCTGACCCAGCCTGCCTCCCAACCGCTCTCTTTACGTCTCTGTTCCTGTTTGACCACGGCTTGCAATCTGACCGTTTTTCTGCCGGGTGATTCTGCACTGTTTTGTCTGCAAGTTACCGACCCGGCCTGTTTCTGACTATGTCTTCCTCTGCCGTTCTGGTGCTGTGCTGTTCTCCGCTGACATCTTCCTATGTGTGGCATTCCCTGCTTACCCAGCATCCAGACATCCTCATCATCAACATCAGAGACTACGTCACCTGCCAGCACTTGTGCCACTCTTTCGTCTCTGCTCCCTCTCACCACCAGGAGTTCAAATTGAGCCGCAAGAGAGGCTGCCCTCATCATCTCAGGTTCCCATCAATGTACATGACAAGACCAATCCTGGTCTGAACCTGAGCTTCTCTGACCTTAGAAGGAGCTCCTCCTGAACACAAAAGTAAGCTCCTTCGGTACCACCCAATCAGCTGCGGGTAGGGGATTTTTCTGCCCGCAGCTCAATATAAGCAAAGGAGTGGGATGCAGTGATGTCATT